TATATATAAAAAAAAATTTAAAAAAAAATCAGTAAGGGACTCTAGAATGGATTTACAATGCATTATGTTAATTCTGATCTTAGAGACGGCAGTCAAAAACCTTCCAGATGAGCTAACAGTGTTCTGATAAGCTGATCCGTATAATTTAAATAAAAACCTTTTATACGATTTTGATGCTACTGTGGTTTTATTCCCCAGAAGTCTCACCATGTGGCACTCTTGGTCATTTACTATTTAAAAAACCAAAAACCACACACATAAAACCCCCAGACCCTTTCTTATCTGCAACATTCCTGTTGCCTTATGTATATTTTATATAAACCAAGTATATAATAATCAAAGCTCCTAATTTACACTTGAAACCTCTTTATTTGCAGTCTCCTGAAAGCAGTTGTGTTCTGGAATAAGAGAGAAGGTTTTTCCCATCCTCCAGCTGTGGTGAACTGTTAGTTTAGAAATATCTTGATTGAGCAAATTCAAAACAATGTGTTTATTTCAGAATAGAACAAGAAATTATGACTGAAGTATTGCTTGTCTACAGAAGGGGAGCCAGCAGCTTGAACTGTATTTCAGTTTGAAAATGTTTACTCATTATATCTACAAAGTAATATCCAGAAGCAAAAGAACTGGAAAGGATGCTTTCCTAGGTTTTCTTGAACATTTGAAGGGACTTGCTCATATTCAGCTTTTCCCTTTCAAAATTATTTGGTAATTTTTCCAATACTGATTGTGTAGGACTTCCAGGAATTAAAAAGAACTAAGGTTATAATATGAAAAGTTAAAAAGGGGCTAAGGATATTATTCTGTATTTGTGGAAAGAAAGGGTTGGAACTAACAGCAAGCTAACTCAGTCTGATCTCAGTTTTTCTACTTTTCCCATTCAAGACCAAGATAGAAGGCATCGGTTCACCTTACTCTGTTATAATAGGCCAAACTAAATGCATTTTCCAAAAGCCTCCTGGGCTAAGTGGCTGGTAAGAATACTGCATAAAGGAAAATGATTGTTACATCTACAACTAATTGCTCTCCTATTCATGTTTAACCTGTTTGCTGCATCTCTCTTTAAAGTTGTTGACATCACACATTTGTTGATCATGGTGTTTCTTTTGTTGCCTTCTTAGTTTAGCTGTCTATCCCAGAATTGGTCCACTTCTATTTTGCTTCATCTTTCCAATAAAATAAAAATTTTCACAAGCATTCTGCCTTAGGAGCCTGTGTGACATTTGAAAATAAAATAGAGAAGGGTGTTGACTTAGGAGCAGGCGCATAGGAGCTTGGCTCAGCTCTGAATCACCTCCTTGTGGTGCTCATCTGTCTGCTGATTATAAGAGGAAGCTTGGAAAAACAATTCTCCTCAATTAAAATTTTCTAAATGTTTCCCTAAATCAGCTGAGAGCATGAAAATTTTACTTATATGCTACAGGCCTGAAGCTGATAAATGGTTTTAGCAAGTAAGTCTTGGCCCCATAACCCCTGTAATCTATGAGAGAACTGAGAGCGAAGACAGGTAAATAACTGTAGTAATAGATAGAGTTGATGTCTCAGTATTTGGTAGCTTTCTGTTGTCAAAATTGTTTGAGTCTCTATTTTTTTATTTATTTTGCAATCAAATTGCTTTTTAAGCTTAGTTTTAAGTTCATTTAACTTGATTTATTTCTCTAAATTCATTGTCCCTTATGTGAAATTTCACAACATAGTTATGAATGTACTATACATCTGCATAGTGTATGGACAGGAGAGGAAGTATTTCTTGGTGTTTTGTTTTTTCCCCCCTCTCAGGCCATATCTTCCATATTTCTGCTACAAATAGTCTGTAGGCTAACAGAACATGGAATAGAGAAAATTATGGAGTCTTTGTTCTTTTGGTTTTTTTAAAACCCTCTGACCTTAATGCTTGCTCAAAGTAGTTGTTTTCTTGGTGGGGTATACTGTGTTTTGTCAGAAAGGTAAATAGATTTGTGATATACAGCAAAACATGATATACTGCTGGAAAATAATATTGCTTGAGATAAGTGTATACACGTCTTTTCCAGCTAAGGATGGTGGAAGGAGAGTGGGTGTGTGTGTATATCTTCACATATACCTAAAGAAGGCAGATACATACAGGCACATTTTTCCAAGACTTTTTTCATTGTTTGGTGCGTATACTATGATGTTGCATTATTGGCAATTTGTGTTTCAGAAAAAAGAACTCATAAAAAACCCTAATAAATTCAATCTAGAAGGGAAGATAATTGTTATGACTTTAGTGCCTCCATTCTGCGAGATGCCCCATGTGGTGTTAGGAATCTATTGATGAAGAGCTAATACCATAGGAGCCTACTTAAAGTTTTTACTTTAGTCACTCTGACAGTTTGCTGGTTTTTTTTTTTCCCCCCCAAACTAAAGCATTATATGGATGACCTTTTGTTTCTTAATTTTTCTAAGAACAGAGTGATTTCATTAGATATATATTGATTGCGTGTATGATATTTATATCCTATAGTTGATAAGCAAAACTATTTATTAAAATTTGATAAGCTACATAATTTGATTTTAATCTCTTTGTAGATACTATTCTGCTTTAAAAACAATGGAACAGCTTGAAAATCTGTATCTTCCTAGAGTTAGCCAATACCGGTTTTGCCAGATAATGATAGAAAATCTTCCAAAACTGCGTGAAGAAATAAAAGAAATATCCATGTCAGATCTCAAGGATTTCTTGGAGAGTATTCGAAAACATTCTGACAGAATTGGGGAAACTGCCATGAAGCAGGTAAGCTGACCTAACAGGATGACTTCAGTCCTGTTATCTTCTGAAAGTATCAGTGTCGATAGTGTCAGGTTAGCCCAAAAGATTTGTCTAAGGATTATAGACGTCACATAGACCTTTGAGTAAAGATGGAGAGCTGTGAAATGCTTGCTAACGTCTTGGGTAGTTTCTTCTCCTGGACATGAAGTTGTCAATTCTAGCGGTCCCTGGCTAACACATGAAGCAGCAGCATGACACATCAGTAGCATCAAGCTTTCCTTCCAAATTTGTATCTGTGTCCTAGACACGAAGTAGTTTCCTCCCTGGGAAAGGAAGGAGAAATGCTGTATATCTCAAGCTGCAAAAAATTATGAAAGACTTTGAGTAGTGAACTCCTAGACAGTCTGTAACTTGGCAGCTACTACACCAAAACAAAGAGCAGCCCATCTGGCCAGCTGGCAAAGATGAGCAAGACTAAAAGAAATGTTGAGATAACTGCCTAGTTCTTTCTAAAGTACTACTAATACAGGGCATGGCATTGGTATATTATCCTCCAGAGAGGGCACCCGGCAGAGAAGAGAGGGCAGAGGACTGAGGTGAGAGCCAGGATGAGATTGGGACAGCTGGTGCCTTTGACTGTTCCATCACAAAATAATCTGCCGCTTCCAAGCACTGGTCCTGGGCCGACTTTAAAGCAGTTAATGCTTTTAAAATTTATTTGGAGAGCAAGTAAATTGTTCATTTGACTTTTTGTTGGGCAGAGTTCAGGTTGGGTTGCCATTTTCTCATCTAAGGTTTTTGTAAAACGCAGCATTGATTATTAGAAATAAAACTTAATTGCAAGCTTATACTGTGCTACCTTGTTGCATTTCTTTCAACAGTAAGGACAATGTAATGTATTGGGCTTCTGCAGCTGACTGCTCACTAAGGCTTAACTGAAGACAGCAAACAAATAGCTGGAAACTGTGATAACTGTACCTCATTTAAATATTGATTCTCTGTTTGCAATTTATAATCAGGAAAATTACAGATTACTTTTAAAATATTTTCTGGATTTTTTTCTTTAAAATTGCCTTCTGGGCATTAGGGAGAAGTTATGCAGAAATTAGCTATTGAACTACTTTATCATCCCAAATACATTAAGGACAAAATCATTGGTGTAGGCTGAGAACGCACATCTTGCAGTTATACTGATATGAATTCAATAGCATCACCTGTTTTTCATGTCATAGCATATACTCATTAGTGATGAAATTTGCATTACATCCCTCTTTATTGGTACTACTTTTAAAACAGGCACAGCAGCAGAAAACCTTTAGTACCGCTCTTCAGAAGCAGAATAGTGTAAACTATGGTCGGAATATGCATTTAGGTAGAAGCAGAATTTTGGAATCCAAGAATGAAATTACATTGAAGCGGACATTTGAAGAAGATGATGAACATGAAGAAGAGGTAACTTTACACTAATCAGTACATCTTGTTTGAAGTGATTTTCTAGGTTTACTGAGCAGAACTTGCAGTATGCTGTCTGTAGATGGTCAACATTAGTTAGGAAGGACCAGAGAACACTTGCAAGGGATGCCAGCCCAGATCAGCATTTTAGGGGGAGAAAATAGTGTCAAAATATTAGTTGTGTTAATGCTAGCTTTAGCATCATGTTTGGGGACGTTAAAACTTGCAATTATTCTGGAATTCGGTTGCAATTTACATTATACAGTACCTGCCCACTGTAAATGATATGTGGCCCACTGGAATGTTCTGCTGTTGCTAAAGCCAGCATTTCTGTGTTGAGGACTTCAGCTTGTGTTACAACTCCTTCAGTTATCAAATACTAGGTATTCATAAATTGAATAAACCAGCAAGTATTTAGATGCTTAAATCTGGTGCTCTGAAGACACAGTGAAAGGAGTCTGGTCTCGTAACACAAATAAAATCTAGTACTGCAATACAAAGGGAGGGGAGAGTTGAGCAATTTGTTTAGTCTTGTGTGGTAGAACCCATCCATTTATGGGTCCTGAAATTACTGGCAAAAAGACTGATGCAGTTACTCTTCAAGTCATTAAAGCAAACTCCGTCTACCACGTTCTATGAAAACAGTAGTTTTAGTAGCCATAAAACCTGTCAACAAAGTTGGCTTTTGCTGGTCCCAGTTTTGGTCATGCTTTTGTATTCAACAACAATATATTTCCATATTCATCTGAACTTTAGATTCATCAAGTCTACTAACTTCACACTCTACTAAACTACTAATTCTCCCCAAAATCTCCAAATTTTAAGAAACCAAGTTGAGCAGTTGTTACATTAAGAGCACTAAAACATAATTTGAAAGGAAGGGAGAATTACTTACCAGTAAGATGTCTTATGAAGTATTCATTAAGTGGACAAGTTCTGCTGGTAATGTATCACATTTTGTAGATTATATGGCTCCTATATTTTATATACTTTTCTTTTTCCTTTCCTTCTTCAGATTTTAACTGCTCAAGATCTTGTAGACTTTTCTCCAGTCTATAGGTGTTTGCACATCTACTCCGTTTTGGTATGTATTAAGGTGACTTCAAAAAGGTATCTTACTTTTTGAAGTTGAATGTTCATTTTTGTGTTTTTCATACTCTAATAGTTCCCAAGCAAACATATTGCTTCTAGTAGTAGTAGTTCTCGATGAACCAGCTGAAATGGGTAGATTATGGATACTGAGGGCACAACTGCATATTTTATTTTATATGCATAATAAAGGTCACACAGCAAGACATTAATTACATATGTGTTCTTAAGAATATATGTAAAATATGCATGTTTCCCTCAATAGTGGTATTGGCACTTTTGCAGTTCCCCCAAGTGTTCCATGTTACCCAAATGTTTGGGGGGATGTGATCAATATTACAGAACACAGGAATATTCAGTCTGAATTTCATGGAAATCAGAGTAGTAGAGGAAAATAGCAAGCAAAAACTGGACACTGTGACAAACTGTGCTCAGGCAGATTAGATTGGATTCAATGGCAGAGACACGATAGCCCATTTTAGCCGCTGTAAAAGAGATACAATGCACAGGCTAAGAAGGTTGAAAACTTTTTTTGGGAAACTTGGTAACAAATTATTTATTGTTTTCTCATCTTTCCTACGTCTCAGTTACTTTTGAAGTCAGATTACTTATAGAATAAGTATCAGGCATATAGATGAAGTACTTTTACGTATTGCTAATCCTACAATCTCAGCTGGACCTGGCTTCAAGCATTCAGGCTGGGTTATCTTTGTTCTGTGGAATCCTTGTAGCTGTGTAACATGAAAGCTTGTATCTTGAAATAATGTTGAAAGTGTTATTTCACTGTTACTTTTTTTTTTTTAAGAAGGAATCCAAACAAAAGCATCAATAATTACATCAGCAATTATTCATCTCAATGAAAAGAACAGGATGGACAGAAAGACAGGCTGCCAGAACTATTAAAAAAAGAGTGGACTGCTTCTTTTTACAGAGGAAATAAGTGTGAAATAACATACAAAAAATAATGTGTAAAGTTAAATACACCAGTTGACAATATCTGCTTATTCTTCCTGTAGTATAATAAAAGAACAGGAAGTAAAATTAATAGATGGCATTTAAAAGTAATATGTGATTATGTTTTTCATTTTGACAAGGTTCCTGATGTTGGATCCTTGATCCAAGGATATGCTCTTCAGGTTTGCACAGAAAGTTTGCCTGGAGACAGAAACCAACTTAGAGTGCTCTCTGATATCAAAGGCCCTTAGCCCCTTAGAAAAAAAGGTTGTTGATATCTTCAGGATAGGGCTTCTGTCTTTCCTGCCAACATCATCTAATTAATAAGCCATGGTAGCATTATCAAGAGTTGTGCATTAACCACTTCTTGGAGTCCTCCTCCTTTGCCTCCTGTTGTAAACCATCTTTTTTGGAGTTTAGATAACCATGAGACAACAAAGGAGGGGAGTTGATACCAGGTGGCTATTCATTACTTTTCTATACCAAGGACTTTTCTCACAGCAAATGTCACCTGCTTAGTGAATTCTCTGTCTGCTACAAAGCTGTAGAAAATATTCTATTTTTATGCAAGACAAATGTTTTCTACTCTGCTTCTTCATATTGAAGAAGAAAGCAGGATTTATGTACCTCAGAATACTACATAGCTTGTGATTGCAACCTGGTGATTACAAGATACATATGTACCAAACACAGACCGTATTTATTGTTCAGTAACCTTTCTTTAGATTAGAAACTTCTTGGCAATATATATAAAGGGCTTTTTTTAGCCCATATATTATGTGAGCTGCTGTATGGTTAAATTCTGCTGAAAGCACCCTTGATCCCTTTGGCATGTAATGTTACTTTTTAACTAAATGCTATATAGCAGTATGAAATAAATGTAACTATGGTGTGAAACAACACTTGCTATATGAGCAATATTCCTAGAAGTTATAACCCAATGTGAACTGATTTATTATTGCTATTGATATAAACTCACAAACTTTTGGAAGCTGGGCAAAACAAATGCATTGGTTGGGTATATTTTATCTTGCCTTTGCTTATTCAGCGAGTGAATCGTCAAGGTTGTTGCTGTATTCTACTGATTGCTTTAGAACATCTGTTTAAACTAGTTGTTATGCCTGAATTGCTGATCTTGATTGCATAGGATAGCATGGTCTATAAATAATCATGAGATTTTACGTCTCCATTTTTGGTGTGGACTTGAGAAGAACAGCTACTCTTTTTCACTGGAGAAGCTTGTTTCAGGACTGAGTAGAGAGTCAGCATTAGGAGTAGAATTCAATAATGGCTTTGTGCATCTGAAAACTGCATTGAATATTTGGGCTGGAGGTGAATGGTTAGTATGTCTGATCAGTATGTGTTAGTACGAATTATAGCACACTGTGTAAAGTTCTGCTGCAACAGAAAGTGTTCTAGTAAATTTGCATCTCAGTTTCAAGTGGGTTTTTGTTTTTAAGACAAGTCTCTCTTACTTTTAGATTTTGGTAGGTTAGCAGTATTTCTAAATATGATGAAATATTCATTATGAACTTAAAATACTAAATTTCAACTTTTTTTGTTATATCTTATAAAGGAGTTAGGTAAGTAGTGCTGACTTAGTAATATACAATCTTTGTAATAACTTGATTTGAAGATTTTTGGAAGCCCAAGTAATGGAATTCTAAGTAGCACTGGCCTAATAATAGGATCACGAGGTAAAAACAAACCTTAAAAATGCTAAGCTGCTTTATTCTGCTTGCATACAAATCACATTGCGTTCATTAGATAGATGAGTCAATGTAGCACTGATTTCAAATGGACAGATGGTTTCTACTGAATGGTCATCTTAATGAGACGGGTAGGATGTCACTTGAATTCTTCACAATATAATCATTAGGCACAGAGGTTATTGTATCTTTGAGGACTGTGATAGGAGAAAAGTCCAAATCCACAGTCATTATATTTACCAATTCCAAAGAGAATAAGCAAATACTGAATAAATCTCATGTGTGTTTTTTTTTCTCAGGCAAAGCTAATGCAAGCAGTGTTCAGACGTATCATATACTCACAAAAACATTTTTGTAACTTAACTTCATAATGCAGTTAGTTTCTTGAATGACAAACACTTCAGGAGACAATGAGTTTCAGTTATAGAGTAATAGGTAATATGCCTTGTCTATAAATATTAATATACCCTGCAAGCTGTAGTTTAAAGACATAAATATTGCTTAAAATGCGTAACATTGTTTGACAAAATGTAGGCACATGAGCAAAATTTTTGTTTACGTTCTGTAGGCTACTTAAAAAAAGAGATAATTTCTGCATATTTCATGCATGCAGAACTTTGCTGGTGTCAGCTGGCGGTCTACGTGTGGAATAAATGCAAAATATGTGGCTTAGTTTTAAGAGAATTTTACACTTAATTTAAGAAGTGTCTTTTTCATACTGAGACAATGTTCTTGTTCTAACTACTTTTTCTTGTTTTAGGGTGATGGAGAAATATTTGAAAATTACTACAGAAAACAAAGAAGGAAACAAGCAAGATTAGTTCTGCAGCCGCAGTCAAGCATGGTAACCAATACTCTTGTTTTTGCATTGACTTGGGTTGTACCTAATACTTAGTGGTATTTTTATTCCTAAACTTGTTTTCTTTTTCACTGAAAGCATGAAACAGTAGAAGGCTATAGAAGATACTTCAGTCAAATTGTAGGGTAAGTTTTCTAAACAGAGATTTATTTCAGTTTTACTATATTGATTCTTAATTCACCCTCTGTTCTCCCATTGTCCAAAAACTTTCTTCTACAAGATTCAGTTTCTGCACAAGTCATGCAGATGGTTGTTGCTGGATCTGAGTGGGGAAGAGCATCCAGATCCCAGCAGTACGGTGCCCCACAAGGACCCTCCAGCAGCCTGGGCTCCAGCTGGTGTGAAACAAACTTTTCACATTTTGACTTCATGCTGGGCAAAGCAGAACACCAAACCTACCAAAGCGTCACTGCTTCAGTGGGGAAGGGTTTGACTATGCTTGTGTGTGAAAGGGTATAATTTGCTCTAATATCAGAAAACAACTTAATAATTTAAGCATTATTTTGTTTTAGTTTCTTTGTAGTAGAAGACCACATTTTACATGTAACCCAAGGATTGGTAACTAGAACATATACCGATGAACTCTGGAATATGGCCCTTTCCAAGATCATTGCTGTTCTTAGAACACATTCAGTAAGTGAGAAGTCTTACCAGTATTGCAGTTTAAATCCTCTTACTTCAGAGCTCTGTATATGTAAAGCTGGGATAGTAACAAAGTGAAAAATTACACCCCTCTCATGTTTTCTTTTCCCTGTGATTAAAAATTGCTCAGATTTGGGAGGGAGCCTGCCAAGCTTTTGTTTTTCCCAACAGTATCAGGCTGTGATCCACAGCCATGGGCTATTTGCATAATCCTCCACTGATTTACAACTCACTGGGTCTTCCAAACCTTCTCTTAGTCCAGCAGTTTAGAATATGCAGAGTTAATCTGCTGTTATTATTGCAATCCTTCCTCATTAGTCTCAACTGACCTCTTCATTAGATCAGATTGAATAGTTCAGCACTGAAAGCACCACCAGGAAATAGTTCCTAATTATCATTCCAAATGCTGTGTTTCCAAAATAAACTCCACCAGAAAAACCCTTGGAGCTATCTCTTCAATGCTATAGTAGTAATATGTTTATGTTGAAGTAAAGGTATTAGAAAAATCTTCACAGATGTTAGAATGTAGTTCTGTATCAACTGAGTATTTCAGTACATTCAAAGTGTGTCTCCTAAAGTTACATTTCTGCCGTAGCTCCAATGATGCTGAATAGCTGCATGCTATTTCTGATTCCTCTGTGAAAACCAACGGAGTACCACTGTTCACTCTGACTGATAGTAAATTGCTTAAGAGTTTATTATTGGTACAACTTTTACTATTGGGGAAAGAATAGAAGAGTTTTATCTTTCCTTTTTTAATGTTTGCTAGAAGCAGTTCCTTTATGCAATGTTATTTTTATTATGATTGATCTTTAATTCGAGGAATATTTTGCATTTCATATATACTGAGGAAAAATGGGGAAAAAGTTCAGATTGCAACTATAGTTTTATCATAGCCTCTTTACTGATCAGTGGTACATGAGATGTTCTCATACTTTTTAATTAATTTTAGAGGATTGGGATAAATTGAGATATATTCAGCATTTTTTAGGCTAAATACTTTGCAAGTTAATTGGCTGCTTATGGATTTATACACCTATGTGAGAATATGGTAATTTAAGGAGTAAGAGTAATGTAATATCTAAAGAACTCTTCAATGTCTTGTCATGTACTTGATCACCATTTCTTCTCAAAATGCCTAACTCCCATCAAAACCAGTTCTATCACAATCTCTTTCTAACATCATCCTAGTACAGACTAATGTTAGATAAGTGTATGTTGCCTTATGAGGTATTGTAAACAAACCCCTTACTTTAATAAAGTAAGCTAAGAGCAAAAATTAAAGAAAGGTGAAACAGGCATATATAGTCTCTAACCAATACTATATTCTCATGCTGCTTTAAATTATTTTAATACAATTTTTTTCACTTTATCCAGTATTGCAAATAGTGAAGCTGAGGTGAAAGCCTTAGTTGTGTGACTCCATACCTCTGAAAATCAAATTTCAGTCATTTAGTAAATAACTTAATGTCTTGACTTTTTACCATCAAATTTGTAATTTCAATTATTTAGAATATTTAGAAAGTGTTTTATAGTGTTTTCCCCATACAGCTGGGAAACTGTCTGAGGTGGCACAGTTAGCACTAGTTAGACCCAGGCTTAGTGTTCAAAAGAACATCCTGTGGAAAGTTCTCTGATGTTGATTTAGCAAAGCATTTTGATGTGCGCTTATGTTCCACTGAAATAAATGTAATTTGCTGATTTTGAATCCCAGTACAACATACTGGTATTTACTGAATCTCATTTTAGTTTACTTTTTCTGAGCTTTTATACTACTGATAGTTCATATAAAAATTTAACAAATACTTTTATGTACCTGGACTAACTGAAGACAAGTGAGTCTAAGTTGTTTTTTACTAAGGCAGTCAGTAAGGTAGAGGGATAAGGCTGGAGAGTTTAAAATTCTTTGAAAACGTATGTCCCATATTTCAAATCCTTTTAACAAACCCCGAATTTCTCACTTTCAGTCATATTGCAGTGATCCCGACCTTGTTCTGGAACTGAAGAATCTCATTGTAGTATTTGCTGATACTTTGCAGGTACATATTATATTAGTAATCTAACTGAAATTCCTAGAGTCAAATTTTTCCTTTAGGTGAGTAAGTCCAATGCTTTGTGTTTTCCTGGATCATATGTACAAATCAAGAAGAAAATTATGCAATATTTTAAAAGTATATGTATTTCTTGCCTTGGTTCCTCCTTTTCAATATTATCAATTTAATGTATACATTCTGGGCTAGCATCCAGTTATTCATATCTGTGCAAAATTAATGTTAGCTTTGTAATTTGTGTGTGTCTTTGTCTTCTATAAATGCTTTACTTCTGATCTTTAGCAAGAATAGCATTCTAGTTATCATTAACTCTCTAGCTGAAAGACCAAATTAACATCATTGGCAAGTATTCTTGCAATGTTTAACAGACTGATGAAAAAGATTAGTTATATGCATAAATCGCAAGTTCAAATGTTACAGAGAAATGGGACAAATTTCTGCTTGAAAACTGAAAGCATAGGATAAAGTATTTGGTAAGAATTGAATATATAATCTTCTATGATTTGTTTTATAGAAGTGATAAGACTGAGTAACTGCTAAGTCTCATCTCAGAGTCCTGAAGTGATGTGATAGGAACTGAGTGTATTCGTTCCTGAATTGTCCACCCTTTTCATTTTTATACCTTAGGGCTATGGTTTTCCTGTGAACCGACTCTTTGATCTTTTATTTGAGATAAGAGACCAGTACAATGAAACGCTTCTTAAAAAGTGGTCTGGACTGTTCAGGTTAGTATTTCAAAATAATTGTGCTTTTTGTATTGCATCTATTGTTTTTGTCTAACTTCAAGGTTTTTTGATAGAGTTGTAATTCTGGAAGAATTGATTAACTCAGTATTGTGTATGAATTTTGGGTCGGATAGGACTAAGATATTCATCACACTTAACTAATATTTAGGAGAAGAGCCATCGAGTACTGCTTCTGTAGTTAATGGAGAGAAGGAAGGTCTCCAAAGGGACATCATTGGAGAAACATGCAGGAGAGAGGAGTCTGGTTTTCTTCATTAGGAACCTAATAACTCTAGGCTATTGCGAGAGGGCATTAGGTTCCTAATTTAGGTTGCCTTTAATGTTTACAGTTAGCTGATATGCATATCTCCCTGACAGACTACTGACATTGCCAGTATGTCTTCATGGTTTTTTTTAATGCAGGTTGGTTTCCACCTATTCTTTGGAATAATTTGATTGAGTAAATTGTAAACCTAGGAATACAGCAGCCTGGGACTGTACTCCAAAGCCTTTCTGCAGATAGGGTGTGATGTCTAAATGTGCAGAAATTGTTTACTGTAAAATATGTTACACTGTACTACAGAAAACCTTAAAATTAAATTGACTGCTTAAGGTTCTCAAGCTCTCTAGACTCCTAGTGTGGTCGTTTCACTAGTAGAAAAGTCCAGAGGATACTTAACGCTGTGGCCGTGTGCCTAGTTGAAGTTTTCCGAATCATCTCTATTGACGATATGTAGCTGTGGTACCTAAGTGAAACACTGAATATCTGCTTTAGTGGAGGCAACGTGCAGGCTACCATAATTAATAAGTATCTTATTATGGTTTACCCTGGAATAGACTAGTTGATCTAAAGTTCCTTTGCTGTATTACACTTCAAGTCATACGTATTAAAATGCTTTCAGCTATTTTTTCCTCTGTGACTAAACACAGTATAAAGAGTTAGCATATATAAGGTACTTTCAAATTAATCTAAAAATGTTTTGGGTATCTGAAATTATGATGACTGCAGCTCATAACTTTTTGAAGCTGCACACCTAAGTGTGGTAGTAAAATTTATATTCATTTACATGTTTTAACACTGGGAAATACTGTAAAGAAGTTACATGTCCTAAATTTTTTTTCACTTTACTAATTCACCAGGGATATTTTTGAAGCAGATAACTACAGCCCTATTCCTGTAGCAAATGAAGAGGAATACAAAATAGTTATAAGCAAATTTCCTTTTCAAGATCCAGAACTTGATAAGGTAAGGAAAAGTTTTTTTATGTTATTAAAACTACCTAGTTATAGTGTGTTATTGAAATGACCTAGTATCAACAGACGAGGAGAAGGCTGAGGTACTCAACAACTTTTTTGCCTCAGTCTTCACTGGCAACCTCTCTCCTCACCCCTCCCAAGTCAATGGTCTGCGAGATGGGGACCAGGGGGGTAAAGCCCCTCCCACTGTAAGGGAAGATCAGGTTCAAGACCACCTGAGGAACCTGAATGTATATAAGTCTATGGGACCTGATGCACCCCAGAGTCCTGAGGGAATTGGCTGACGTAGTTGCCCAGCCACTCTCCATGATATTTGAAAAGTCATGGCAGTCAGGGGGAGTCCCCTGGGGCCGGGAGGCGGGGACAGT